TTTTACAAATATCATAAATATAATTAAAACTGCTCACAAGCCAGCACATGGAGTGAGTGATGATGGATATCTTCTACATTAATTAATTATCACTCAAAAGAACTAAATAATAAAATAGCAAGATCCGAGTAGGAGCAAGAAGAAAAAACATTGCTTGTGCATCTTCTTCATCGCAAAGAGCAAAAAAATGACATCACTTGGGCCAAGACAGTAGTCTATTTTATTAAATTCGAAACATATGAATAGGACAGCCGACACAGCAAATAGAAAATTTCTTCTTTGTGTTAATAAAAAAAAGTTATTGTTAAAAACATCATGTGATGATCATCAATTACCTTGGTTACTGGATACCTCATTATAACAGACCATTGAGGCCAAACCAATATGTCCATTATAACGAGGTTCGACTGTATTGATGAAAGTAAAATATTACAAATATTCATTTATTGTTTTCTCATTTTGACTATTGATGATGATAATGTTACTGGTAAAAGATATGTGGCTCCTGTTGAAGATTTTACAATATTAGAAGATACTACTTGACTTGCCATTGTGTGTTGAATAACTATGATTTAGAGTTGGTTTACTTTGTTGTGCCACAGCAATTAATTATTATCCACATGAAATTATTATTTTTTTGGTGTAAAAAGAACTTTAATTTAGATTATTAAAAAATTGATTGGTTCAATTCAAATTCTAGTTAAGTGTCCCTTATTCTCTAAAAAAGGATAATGCAACATAGTACCAGTTCTAACTAATTTTTTTCTTACACTAATAACAAGGAGTAATTCCAGAAGATTTAATTTTACAATAATTCAATGCCTGAAATTAATTATATAAATAAATTAATTGATTTAAAATAAATGGATTAATTTAGTTTATTTTAAAAAGATCAATCACCTCATCAAAAAAAGGTTTTCCTGGATTATTTGAATTATTCAATGATTTCAATACTATATGCTGATGTCCAAAATAATTAAACTCCTTTTTATTTTCATCATAATCATCAATAGATCCTCTTGTCCACCCAGCAGTATAAATAGAACTGAATCCACCTTCTGTTAACTTTTTTATATAATAAAATTGCTCATAAGGTACCCATTCTATAATTCGATTTGGAAGAGATGAAAGCTGTTGACATTTTTGAATAAAATCATCAATTATCTCATTTCCAGATGTCCATGTACTGAAAAGGCTCTGTAAGTGTAGACTAATACACTTTTCACAATATTTATCAGAGTGTCTTGTTGTTTTACAATTATTGCATTCTCTTGGTTTACCATATTTATAAATTGCATTTTTTAATTCAAAATTATAAATAAACTTTTCTCTACAAAATTCCTTTTCATTTTCTAATAGTTCTTTGTTTTCTTTGACTAAATGGAAAAAATAACTTTTTCTATTTTCATTGTCAGAAACAGTTAGAAAAGGAGTACAAGCAATAGAATTCATTTCATTATAAATTTTATGTGATAATTCTTTTCTGTCTTGTGTTAATAACTTTTCAAAGGACATTTTAACTTAATATTTTTCAAGTTTGACAACATTTTTTTGTGGTACGTGCATTTATTTGCAAATCAAATTATTATCTAATTTTCCCTTTAATGTAACGGATTAATATTATAAATCCAACTATTTCTCTTGTCATAATTTTCGCCTGGGATATTATTCTTTTTGCATACTTTAACAGATCATTTGAACCTTAGAAATTTCATTGTAGATTTTAAATTTCTTTAATTTCTCCCAGTAAAAAAATATTGTATAAATGAGAGTGCACTAGACCAGAATAAAAATGAACAAAAAAAAGTAAATCCAAATGCAAATTTCATATCCAACAAATTTTTTTGCATATAATGAGCCTTTGATACCATTTTTTTTTCTTCCTTGTTTCATTTTATGTTACCCTCATTGTTTTCAGACCCTTGATTTCAAAAATAATAATAAATAAATTTATTATAACCAATTCAAAGACCTACTTCAATTGTTATTGAACTCTTGATTCTTTTTAATTGTTATCCTTTGTCAAGAATTTCATCACATATATTTCACTTACCATTCCATAGATAACCATTTTTTAATTTTCTTTTTAAAGCACATACTAAAAATAAAAACACCACCGCCTTTCCTTTACAATCAAAAATTTATTTATGTAAAGTTTTTCTAATTATGATAATTCACATTCAAGCAGCCCCTTTGTTTATTGAAGCAGAAAATCAGAACTGGAAGAGTTTATCAGAAATTAAAGTCATATTCATATCTAAATTGGGGCATACTGCAACAAAACCAGACAAAGTGAACATTGGTATTACCAAGATTTTAGTGATAAAAATCACTTGTACTATTTATTATTATATAGGATTATCTCTGTATAAAGATAATTAATATGAAATTTAATCTAATCATCATTACCATCATCAATTCAATTAATTACTTTTTATTATTAAAAAAAATAGCATCAATAACAATAAAAACTATGGGCAAAAAAGAATACCACAAATTATATGATTTTCTTCTTTCAATATTATCTAAGTTTATTTTTTATTAAAAAAAAAAACAATTTATATAAAAATATAGCAGCAGAAAAAGAGTGCAAGAGAATAAGAGGATTGAAATTTATGTACTTACAAAAAAATAAATGCAAAAGGCAGCAGCAAATAAAAATTTAATTTTTCTAGATTATTTTTTTTTTGTCTTTGAGGTGGTAGAATTTTATTTTCAAGTATCCAATCAATAAAATCACCATCATCATATCATTGTGTATTTTTTAGTATATTTGTAATTGTTAAAGATTCTGATAACATATCAAGGTTTTTGTCCAACATTTCCTAAAAAAAATAAAAAAAAAATACTTTTGTCAAAGATAATTTTTTAATGCTTACCCTTAATTTAATAAAATTAATAAGTGCATGTTCAATACATTTGTAATTATGAAATGTTTGAGGGAGCTCAAACTCTGATATTTGTTGAAATACATATAATTGTTTCTCTGGAATGTTCATCTGAAATATTTCTATTTTCATTCCTGTAAAAAAAAAAATAGTTAAAATTACCACTTTTCATCAATCTATGTTGTTATGCAATCAACAAAAAATATTTACCAGATACAATTACTGCAAAAGCTCTGATTTTTGAAATAAAATTTTTATTTCCATGTGGTAATTTTAAATAAATTTCTCTAAGCATATCAGATAACATCCCAATTGTTTTTGATTTGTCATATGTATATTCTCTTAAATTTTCTTCTTTTTTCAATTTAAGAGTGAGTATCTCTACATCTCTTATTGTATATTCAACCTTTACATCAGGTATAAAGACTAGTGCTGTAATCCAAAAAAGGAAAAAGTATGGTTGCAAAAGTGGTTGCAAAAGTAATTGCAACCACTTTTTATATGCCGTAAATACAATTACTGGCACTAGTCTTTAATCAGGTACAAATGCTTTTTCAACCTTGTCACCAATTGAATATTCCTTGTTTTTACTGTGTTTATTAGCACATAGTGGCCTATAAATAAATGCATAAAAGTTATATTTCATTTTTCAAAATCAGGAGATTTTTGCAAATAGGGTTTCTATTCAAATAATCATTCAATACAATTCAAATACTCATATTAATAATTATGAATAAAATGAATGGCTCAAATAAGCCTTATTTGAATAGAAACACTATTTGTGGCAAAGCCTCATGTACGTACGTTACAAAAAAATATTTCCAATTTTTTTTGTAACTTACCTCTGTGTGTAAACATTATATTTTTCCTCATTATAGAAGAGATTTTTTAAAATAAACGAAAAAATTTCTCGTGATAGTTGTGGCTCAGATAAACAGGTTATCCTATAAATAAGTGTGCATATAGATGAGTAAAACATTAATAATAATATTAGTAGATGTCACTACTCACATTTTTTCATTAACCTTTCTAATAAATGATTTCATGCTATCCACAAAATCATAACTCAACATATTTTCAACTTGATATAGTTCCTTCAATATAACAATGCCATCCTCAAGATTATCAATATTTGATAACCTGTTTATAATTTTTACAATATCATCATGTTTAAAGACTAGTGCCGTAATCCAAAAAAGGAAAAAGTATGGTTGCAAAAGTGGTTGCAAAGGTAATTGCAACCACTTTTTATATGCCGTAAAGACAATTACTACCATCATCATAATTTACGGCACTAGTCTTTAATCATGTTCAAATGGTGTGATATCCAAATTGAATTTGAATTTTTTGTTGAAGATTTTTAATTGCCCAGATTTATACTGTCTCTCTTCCAAGTTCACGATTCCAATTTTTATTAAATCACTATAAACAATGTTAAACAGTACCATATTATCAAAAACTCTTGAATGTAAACATTTTCATAAATCAAAATTAAAAGCATACGTACTTCTTACTTGCAGCTTTAAATATCGGAATTAGTAATCTTTGATTTTCATCCTTAAAAATTATTTAATAAAACATTGGAGTAAACAGTATCAAAAAAGGTATGGAATGCTATTTTAAAAAAAATATAAAAACTTACGCCCCCAAAAAAAGGTACAACTTCATCTGTGTAGTAGATGATTATATATATAATTAATTTACCAATGAGTTATAATTCAACTCCTTGAATAAAAATGAAATGAAGTCTAGTTTTATTAAATCCCAATAAAATTTTACCTATTTCGTGAGCTTCATTTTCCTATGGGTTGGGAATTAAATTAATATCAAAAAGTTTAGGTTTATTCCAAGAAAATATATTATTACTTACATTATTATTACTATCAGCACATTCCTTTGATTTCCTATGATTATTAATAAAACCAATAAAAAAAAAGATTATTATTATTTGTTAACTAGAATGACAAGTTGCAATTATTGCAACTATCACCATTCTTTTTATAATAATTAGAGTGATGGTGAGTGGCGATAACCACCACCATTCTTATGATAAACACTTACACACTCCTTTCAATGGCTAGATTCTTTTTTCTTTTTTTATTAATGTTTCTTGACATCTTGTTTATTAAATTTTTTTTAATTTTATTTGATCAACAAACACGTCATTGATTATTTATTATTGTTAATAAAAGTTTCAATTTTTTATAGGTAATAATAATATATTTAAAGAATCAACTATGCAAGTGTGGGTTGCAATTTGTAATCAGGCCTCTACTCTGTGTCACAAGATGACTGTTGACAAAAATAGAGTAGGCAACTTTTAACAGCTGGTGAAATTGATAATCATCTTCATTATGGTTCTTTTGGTGAATGCAAAAATAGCCAACATAGACAAAAATGTTTTCCAATACATGTATTAACATGAGAGTTCAAGCAATATTAGTATAGAATTTATCATTAGAGATGGCAATACAAAAGATAATAATTTGAAACCTGGTTATATATATGCAAATCAGACTTAGATTCATCTACAAGTAAAGTGGTAAATGAAATTTCTAAGAAACACTTTAATGAAGTGTTTTAGGTTTTAATAATGAAGTAATAGAAAAAAAATTCCAGGTAGATGTGTCTTTTTTTTCCTTTTAAAATCATTGCTAATGGTATTATAGTTTTGTAGCATCTATAAGTTCAAATCAGAAAGAGTTCATTGACTAATGCTCAAGGTAAAAAAAATATCAAGTGCATGTGAAAATAACACAAGGATTTCTGCTTTGTTTAAGCAAACTTTTTTAAACAAATCATAATTAAATCCACATTGTAATGAATTTAAGGATTTTATTTCACATATAAATTCATTGAAATATGATTAGTAATTCCTATAGCAGATCTTAAATGCCATTTTGCAGTTAGGCATGTACATGTGTCATGTGCCTTACACAATAATAAAATTATTTTTTAGGTGAGAGCTATTATCACTTGAATCATCTTGTTATGGATATGAAATAGTAGATGTAGATAATGATAATGATACTATTGGTTATTTAGAAAATGGGGTCAGTGTAGAAATAATAATAAAGTACAAATAACAATATTTTTTACTTCAATAATTCAATTAAACAAAATTTTTCAATCAAATTTTTTATTTAGTCATGATTTTTTTTTTTTACTCAAATCAAGAGGTTTGACTTATGCCAAGGGTTTTTGCTTATGTCAAAAGTTTTATGTAATAAGAGTGAATGATGATTATTGAAATTTGTTTCTCCTCTTCACTGCCTAAAATTTCTTAATGTTAATTATTAACATATGGCAATCAAATTTATTTTCAAATAATATTATTAATAAATATAAAAATAATGAAAATAATTAATAAATGGTGATTATCTACTCATCAACAATTTACCCAATTCTCCAATCTTAGCCTTATCAACTACTTATTAATATTATTACTATTATTATTGTGAGTAATCATATTTAAATTAATAGATTTCAATTAATTAACAACTATTTGATTACCTTATTAAAATTATATTTCATAATTTAATAAGCTATCATTACTTAAATTCAATTTAGCAAATTCGTCACTTAATATTCTACTTG